ATAAGTGTTGATTAAGAGGCAACATGTAGAGTCATTGTTGACGACTACAGTTCAGTCTTTTACAGAATTTATTTTCATGGAAACAGCGTGGACAATCCAGAGATTCATACAGGTAAAGCATGTTCTCGCTGAGCTCACACAGCCGATGAAGTAAAGTTTCAAAATTCCAGGGTCTCAGATTTTCTGGATAATCCACAGACAACTCTGATCAACTTTAAATGAAACTAGTTTCTACCAAACAAATAGCCCCTATGAAAACTCTTTAAAGAGACATTTCCATGTAATGTCTTCATCGTTGACAGGATTCAAACCTGTGAGTGGAGATCCCAATGAACTTCAAGTCCACCGCCTTAAGCACTCGGCCACAACAACTACACATCTGAGATTGCTTCATGTTGTGAAGTACATGCCTGTGAAAGCAAAACTGTGCCAACAAATCATGAATAATCCTAATTCATAGTAAATTTTAATAACTTTTTTTTAAAGGTAGGCCAACATCTCCATCTCAAACACAAACAAAAATGTTAGTCTCATTATAACAGATCATCTTTTGAGTAGTCTATCTGTTTCGGAAACTAAACAGCAGCTGCGATGGCCGGGAATCGAACCCGGGTCAACTGCTTGGAAGGCAGCTATGCTCACCACTATACCACCATCGCTTGGAAGACAGTGAATTTTCATGGAACTTTTCTCATGCAGCAGCAGGTTACATGAGTGGCAGAATTTAACTGGAAGTTTGACAATGAAATTGTGAAGTAGCAGTTAAGCTGTACCTTGGTGCGTCAAAGCAAAGGAAAGACTGAACTATGTTCCCCAAATCTTAGTGGACAACTGTGCAACTTCTTTTACACAGCTTCACTGTTTTCAATGTAAAGATGTTGGAGACTCTACCACCGAGCTACATCCCTGTATGTGCCAATAACTTTTTGTCAGCAACTTTCATGTGACGTGGTCATTTTCAACAGGTCTTAAGACCCACTGGGGATGTCAGGGATTGAACCTTCTCTAACATGCAAAGCATGCGCTATAACGTTGAAGACAGCCATGAGTCAGCAACAACAACACACGAAAATGACCCTCCGTTGTTGGCAGGATTCGAACCTGCGCGGGGAGACCCCAATGGATTTCTAGTCCATCGCCTTAACCACTCGGCCACAACAACTGCAACTGCACACAGTGATTGAGTTTTCGTGTCCGCCTCCATTACGCAACATTTACACATCTTGATCATATCTGAAGAAGACTTAGGGCCTGATTTACTAAAGCTTTGCGTGCGTAAAAACGTGCGCAAACGCGACAGCACGCGCAAACACATGTTGATGCTGATCTACCAACCGGGCGCACCGAGGATTGCGTCTGTCAGTCGGGCAAAATAACACACGCTATCCATTTTGCGCTTCTGCCTTCATGGATATGCAATATAGGCGTGCCTGCCAGAACGCGCAAAATATTGGGAGGAGTAGATGCAAATAGAATGATTTTGCGCACGCAATGAGATTTACCAAACCTGAAACTAATTGCGCTGATTATTTTTGCGAATATATTTAGCACGTTTGAGAGTCAAGTCTTAGGCTACCTGGCACAGCCGTGTGCACAGATGGCTGCGGTCATTGTTGCAAGGAGGCGGCGTAGGCACGACAGGCAACGGAGAGAACGCATCTTTTTTGTTCGTGTCACTCTTTTTGGAATGGCAGAAGAAAAAATAATCGAGACATATCGGTTATCCGGCGATGCCATGATTGTCCTTTGAAAAAGAAAAAAACAAAAAAGTCATTCGTTCAGAGTTCAGAAAATCCTTAAATAATAAATGTTGCATCATAATGTCAAGTGTTTCTTGTTTGTGCTATTTTGACAAAACCAAAAACTCACATTTTTATGTACTAAAGCCCACTTTCTTTTAGACATAGGAAACATTTAGTTCGGCCCAGTTCCTGTCATTTATTCCTGAAACTTAAAACAAATGAAAACGCACACACTTCTGCGCCCCTGCTGGAACGCACAAACAAAAAAACCCTTTTGGCAATTACGCTTTTCCATTGCACAGCTAAAGAACGTTCATGACGCACGTTCATGTCTTATGTGGTGTACCTGAATGAATTAAAAATATTCCCAGTATCCCAGTAATCTGCTCATCACAGAACGTCAGCTGCACCTGCTGTTCAATGGGAGACAGAGGGTCCTCCTCCGCCGGTCCCCCACCTGTTTTATTTGCCGATTTGTTATTCTGTGCGATTTTTTCCTTTGTTCTTCTACGAATGTCTTGCCACCTTTTCTTCATTTCATCCGGTGTTCTTTTGGTTTTCCCCACAGCATTAACCTTGTCACAGATTGCCTCCCATATTGCGTTCCTCCTAATAACGGTTAAATTCCTTTGCTATAACTCAGAAATGTGCTTGTTTGCCTCTTGTACCAGCACCTCCAATTCCGGTCCAATTGGATCTGCTCGTTTGCATTTGCCACGGTGAACACCCTTAACTCGCGCAAAATCCTCATTTAAATAGGGCCGGCTCGATCACTTTTGCGCCTGTAGTCAACTGCGCTGTTAATCTAAGTAAATCACTCGCAAGGCCCAAACAGGCAGTGCGCGCAATCTATCCGTGTGCACACGCAATTTAGCGCTCTTTATTTGGGATCTTAGTAAATCAGGCCCTTAGAGTCAGCAGTTGAGGAGAGGAGGAAGTTTGACATTGAAATTGTGAAGTTGCAGTTAAGCTGTAGGAATACATAATATAATATCGCATAATAATGTAACAACATAATGAAAGAGGAGTGAAAGCTTATGCTGAACATAACTATCCATTTCGGGACAGCTGTGCAGGTATGATTCTGTAGTCACTATCACTGTGGATATAGAGTGCAAAACAAAGAGTTGACGTTTCTCTCAGTCACAATCACAAAGCGTTTGTCATGAAATATTCAAGTTCTGAAATAGTGTTTTCTTTGAGTAAATGAAGGCAGCTCCTCTGCCTGTGATCAGAGACACATCAAACTGTTACTATTACTCTTTACTGTATCGTTGTTGACAGGATTCGAACCTGTGCGGGGAAACCCCAATGGATTTCAAGTCCATCGCCTTAACCGCTCGGCCACAACAACTTAACAAACACATCTGTTAAGTTTCATAGTTTCTTCACTGACAACATTTTAGAGTTCAAAAGAATGTAACAGTATAAATAGTGAGTATATTCAAAAGATGCACAAATTTTATTTTATTGATTTAGCTGCTCATGGTCACTGACTCAGCTCTGTCTGTGATCAAAGACACATCAAACAGTGTGACAGAAACAGCAGGTCAGAGTTCATTCAGTAACGTTGTGGGTTTCCTACATGGAGCTGGTTTAAGAGTCAACACAACATCTTCACCTTGTCAGCAGGATTGATGAGGTTTTTCCTCCTTAACTGTGCATCGACTTGTTAAACTGGACTTTATGGATGGTGTTTCATGACCTAAGCAGAAGGTGAACATCCACACTAAGGCTGTTTTCAGTGTTTAGGCCACGTCCACACTCCCATGTTTTCGTTGTAAAACGCATCTCTTTTGCTACGTTTTCGCCTCGTGTCCAGACTATTCTGGAGTTTTCCAGCACCGAAAACCGAGACTTTTGGAAATGCTGCTGGCCCCGTTTTAGTTTGAAAACTCTGGGGTTGCGTTGTAGTCTGGACGGGGAAAACAGAGACCTTTGGAAATGTTGACATAGACACATATGGTTCTTCCCTGACTGGGTCTCATCTGCCTCCACTACAAGTGGTGAATACAACATGGATAATGAAATACAAGCGGAACTGACCTTATTGTCTTTGGTAGCAGTTGTTCACTTAAATTCTGCATTTCAACATTACAACTGTCTTTGCTGTTGCTCGTTCGTAGTTTTTTTTTTTTTTTTTTGCAACTAATCAACTGCAGAGTAGACAGTCTGCTTCCTGTTTACACGGGCTCGTGCATACTCAGAGTTTGAGATTGCTCATGTATGTATGCGTTTTGAGGTCTGGACGGAGATTGTTTCTGATAAGGAGCGATGATTTTCATTTGAAAACACTGTTTTAAGATTGAGACGTAGTAGTGTGGATGCTGCTTTAGCATAGATAAGTTTTTACCAGTTTAACCACCACAGCTCTCAGAGAAAGCAACTGCTTCGTTGTTGGCAGGATTTGAACCTTGTAACGTGAGAAGGTGTAGGCGGAGAGGCTAGCAGGTTTAGCCGTTAGCTCAGTCAGTCGACAGACAACGAAGTAGGGATTTCCACACGGTATTTTAATTAATAATATTCTAGAATTCAACATAGACCATATTATGCCAGGTCTCCACGGCGCTACATTCACAGTTCATACATGAGTGGTAATATGTAGACAGCTTAACCGTCACCTTCGTGTTACAGAGAATCTTAGTGCGTGTCTTTCGTTGTGGAAGTCCGGAGGTCAAGAACATGGCGGACAAGAAGGCCGCTGCGTATACACTGTGCCACAAAAAGGAGGTAACACCACCTTGTGGCGTTATTCGGTATTGCAGTAAGCACGTTTAGACTCTGACTGTTACAACCTACGCGGGGAGACCCCAATGGATTTCAAGTCCATCGCCTTAACCACTCGGCCACAACAACTACACATATGTTCTCACTTCATGTTGTGAAGTACATGGATGTGAAAGCAAGTTTGAGCCAAATTTATTCATTGTAATAGACTTTTTTTTAACAGCCATCTCCATCTCAAACACAAACAAAAAACATGAGTTATTCTCACTATAATCTATACAACAGCTCATCTGATGAGCAGAAGATCTGATTCCTGTTTACACCTGCACGTGCATTACCACTGTTTACATCAGTGGAGGAATTTGACTGGGAAATGAGGAGAGTCAAAAAAAAAAAAAAGAATCAAGGAGGAGAGAAAGCTGAAGCTGAAGTGAAGAATCAATTATGGGACACCTGTGCAGGTATAATTCTGCACTTGGTGTGAATGTGAAATGTTTGAGCAACAACATTAGGCATTTGTCTTTACTGTATCGTTGTTGACAGGATTCGAACCTGTGCGGGGAGACCCCAATGGATTTCAAGTCCATCCCCTTAACCACTCGGCCACAACAACTGCGCACATTGGTTGAGTTTTCGTGTCCGCCTCCATTACGCAACATTTACACATCTTGATCATAGCTGAAGAAGACTTTACCTGATATCAAAGACAGCACAAAATGGTGACAGTAGAGAGACAGACAAGAGTCATTTACTCACTTCTGTTAAGCGTCATAGTTTCTTTACTGACAACATTTTATAGTTCAAAAGAATGTAACAGTATAAATAGTGAGTATATTCAAAAAATGCACACATTTTATTTTATTGATTTAGCTGCTCATGGTCACTGACTCACAGCTCCTCTGTCTGTGATCAGACACATCAGACAGTGTGACAGAAACAGCAGGTCAGAGTTAATTCAGTAACGCTGAGGGTTTCCTACATGGAGCTGGTTTAAGAGTCAACACACACACACACACACATCTTCACCTTGTCAGCAGGATTCAAACCAAACATGATGTTGTAAAATCATCATTTTGGTAGATTTATCTTATTTGCAAATTTATGCCAAAGTGGAGGTTCAAACTCATTTGAGTTGTTAAATCTTTGATACTTAATTTCCCTCCATTTATGCACAGTGCACTTTATTTAGATGGCAGATTACTGTTAGATTAAAATCCAACATGAATGGTTTAACATTTCTGGTTATTTTACGATCAGCATGATGGAGGATAAAAACACTGCCCCTATGAAAGTTACATGAAGAGGGATGAGGTTGTTTCTCATTTACTGTGCCTCAGTTTGTGACTTTGTGGATGGCGTCAGAAATGTCTACACTAAAACCTTGGCTTCAGAGTGATTAAGTGAAACACTATTGAGTGTCACTTAGCAGAGATGTCTGCACATTTCTTCTCAACAGCTGAGAACAGATCATTGTTGATTAGAATCTGTGTAGAGGTTTCTCACCTGTAAATGCTGGAGATGCCGGGGATTGAACCCGGGGCCTCATACATGCGAAGCATGCGCTCTACCACTGAGCTACATCCCCTGTATGTGCCATTGTCTTTTTATCAGCACAGGCATTCTGAGGTGTTAAAATTAGTTTTGTGTCAAAGTGCTTGTGGATACGCATTCAGTGCATTATTCTGCTTTGGTTCACATTTGAAAAGTCTAGGTAGATCCTGAAAGAAAATCCAAGACTCAGACATTAAAGAGCCGCTGCGATGGCCGGGAATCGAACCCGGGTCAACTGCTTGGAAGGCAGCTATGCTCACCACTATACCACCATCGCTTGGAAGACAGTGAATTTTCATGGAACTTTTCTCATGCAGCAGCAGGTTACATGAGTGGCAGAATTTAACTGGAAGTTTGACAATGAAATTGTGAAGTAGCAGTTAAGCTGTACCTTGGTGCGTCAAAGCAAAGGAAAGACTGAACTATGTTCCCCAAATCTTAGTGGACAACTGTGCACGTTTCTTTTACACAGCTTCATTGTTTTCAATGTAATGATGTTGGAGACTCTACCACCGAGCTACATCCCTGTATGTGCCAATAACTTTTTGTCCGCAACTTTCATGTGAAGTGGTTATTTTGAACAGGTCTTAAGACCCACTGGGGATGTCAGGGATTGAACCTTCTCTAACATGCAAAGCATGCGCTATAACGTTGAAGACAGCCATGAGTCAGCAACAACAACACACGAAAATGACCCTCCGTTGTTGGCAGGATTCGAACCTGCGCGGGGAGACCCCAATGGATTTCTAGTCCATCGCCTTAACCACTCGGCCACAACAACTGCAACTGCACACAGTGATTGAGTTTTCGTGTCCGCCTCCATTACGCAACATTTACACATCTTGATCATATCTGAAGAAGACTTTACCTGATATCAAAGACAGCACAAAATGGTGCCAGTAGAGAGACAGACAAGAGTCATTTACTCACTTCTTTGTAGAGCGGATAATCTGAATGTCAACAATAATTAATAATTCATTTCTAACATGAAAGATATAACTGTTTATTTTACAGTCATCATGATGGAGGATAAAAATGACTGCCTCTGTCATAGTTCAGTGAAGAGTGTGTCTCAGCTTGTTAAAATGGATTTTGTGGATTGTATTTTATGACCTAACCAGAATGTGAAACAACGTCCACATTAATACATTAGGTTTTCGGTCTCAATGTGTTCTTAATCTGAACAGCTGCTTCTTGTTGAAACTTCAACCACCTCACTTCTCACATGCTGTGAAGGAAGCCAATTGCCTCATTGTTGCAGGATTTGATCGTGCGCAGGGACACCCCGATGGATTTACAAGTCCTTAACCATGCGTTCACAATAGCTGCACATGTACACATTTCTGCTTTATGTTGTGAAGTACATGCATGTGAAAGCAATATTATGCAGGTTTGAAAACACTAGGTTGATATGGCATTAAGATGAGACAATGCCACTTGAGCGTAACAGTAAGAAAAGGTTGAGAAAATATTTCCATTCCCACTGACTGAGGCACACACTTCTGACAGCAAATCAAAAGAGTTGGAGAGAAAAACCTGCGATGGCCGGGAATCGAACCCGGGTCAACTGCTTGGAAGGCAGCTATGCTCACCACTATACCACCATCGCATTTAGAGAACATGGCTGCTGAGTCAGCAGTTTACGTCAGTGGAGGAATTTGACTGGGAGCAGAGGAGGAGAGTCAAAAAGATCAAGGAGGAGCCGAGGAGAGGGGAGACCCCAATGGATTTCTAGTCCATCGCCTTAACCACTCGGCCACAACAACTGCACACTGTTCCTGCATTTTTGTGAGCCCCTGCATTAGGCAACAGTTACACATCTTGATCATAGAAGATGTCTGAAAGGAAATCCAAGAGTTTGGAACTAAAGAGCCACTGCGATGGCCGGGAATCGAACCCGGGTCACCTGCTTGGAAGGAAGCTATGCTCGCCACTATACCACCATCGCTTGGAAAACAGGGAATTTTCATGGAAGTTTTCTGGTGAATAAGCACTTTACATCATTGGAGGAATTTGACATTGAACTTGTGAAGTAGCAGTTAAGCTGTACCGTGGTGCATCAAAGCTACAGAGTGATTGAGTTAAACACTGTTGAGTGTCACTTTTGTGTATATCAGGGCAGCTACGGAAAACCTGAGTTCCGTAAGCTCTGTCATGTGAGTTTGATGATTTTTATTCTTCATTTACCTGCCACATGTTTGACACGTGTCTGTCGTTTGTCAATACAAAGTCGTGTGGAGTGTAGAAGAACTTCAAATCAGTCTTATTTGATAAAAATGCTTGTGAGAGCTCACATGTAGCTTTGACTTGCAACTGAATCTTTAGACCCCGTTGTAAGATAACCATTACTGTATAACAGTTCATCCAGGAAACAGAGAGATAGCATTTTTTGTCCGCACAGCGTAGAGCTAGTTAAACATCCTTGTGAAACTTCCATCGCTCAAGAACAGCTTGTTAAGTCAGGAGAGACTGTGTATACTATGTTGTCCAAGTCTTAGTTAGTGGACAATTGTTTTTCTTTCTATCAGTTTTCAGCAGGATTTGAACCTGCACAAGGAGACTTCAACAGACTTCTTTTCAACGTAAAGATGTTGGACCCGGGGCCTCATACATGCAAAGCATGCGCTCTACCACTGAGCTACATCCCCTGTATGTGCAATTGACTTTTTGTCACACGGGTTCAGTGGGGCTGCAGCAGTTAAAATTGCACTTTTCCTCAGTCTACCCTCAACGAATGGAGCAAGAGAACATGAGAAAAGGAAAACGAGAAAGTAAAATGTGCAACGGTTTAATGAGAATATGAGAACGGAGCCAGTTCGATGCCATTTGGCTTTTTTTATACTGTTTCAAAGAAGAATCATATAAATGTAAAATGACAAGACACTGCATTATGCAGACAAGCCCGGTGGGTGCACTTTCCATGTGTAAAGTTTGCGTGGTTGCAAATTGTTGTGTGCACAGGGAAGTCCAGGAACAGGTGTGAAGACCCACTGGACATGTCTGACTTTGAACCTCCTCAAAGTCACAGCACACGAAAGCTACCTTCCGTTGTTGGCAGGATTCGAACCTGCGCGGGGAGACCCCAATGGATTTCTAGTCCATCGCCTTAACCACTCGGCCACAACAACTGCACACTGTTCCTGCGTTTTTGTGAGCACCTGCATTAGGCAACAGTTACACATCTTGATCATAGAAGATGTCTGAAAGGAAATCCAAGAGTTTGGAACTAAAGAGCCGCTGCGATGGCCGGGAATCGAACCCGGGTCAACTGCTTGGAAGGCAGCTATGCTCGCCACTATACCACCATCGCTTGGAAGATAGAGAATTTTCATGGAATTTTTCTGGTGAGTAAGCACTTTACATCATTGGAGGAATTTGACATTGAATTTGTGAAGTAGCAGTTAAGCTGTACTGTGGTGCATCAAAGCTACAGAGTGATTGAGTTAAACACTGTTGAGTGTCACTTTTGTGTATATCAGGGCAGCTACGGAAAACCTGAGTTCCGTAAGCTCTGTCATGTGAGTTTGATGATTTTTATTCTTCATTTACCTGCCACATGTTTGACACGTGTCTGTCGTTTGTCAATACAAAGTGGTGTGGAGTGTGGAAGAACTTCAAATCAGTCTTATTTGATAAAAATGCTTGTGAGAGCTCACATGTGGCTTTGACTTGCAACTGAATCTTTAGACCCCGTTGTAAGATAACCTTTACTGTATAACAGTTCATCCAAGAAACAGAGATACCAATTTTTGTCCACACAGCGTAGAGCTAGTTAAACATCCTTGTGAAACTTCCATCGCTCAAGAACAGCTTGTTAAGTCAGGAGAGACTGTGTATACTATGTTGTCCAAGTCTTAGTTAGTGGACAATTGTTTTTCTTTCTATCAGTTTTCAGCAGGATTTGAACCTGCACAAGGAGACTTCAACAGACTTCTTATCTTCATTGTTTTCAACGTAAAGATGTTGGAGATGCCGGGGATTGAACCCGGGGCCTCATACATGCAAAGCATGCGCTCTACCACTGAGCTACATCCCCTGTATGTGCCGTTGACTTTTTGTCAA